GACAGTCCAGACGGCCGATTATATCAAGGATAAAGGTTTCACAGTCAGACAGAGGTCACAGATGAGCCAGATCAACCCTGGGGCTTGTGAGAAAATGCCAGAGCGTTTGATCCGCCAACTGTACCCCGATGAAGTTGAGAAGCATGAGCTGGATCCATATCATCATCGATATCCACGAGCAGAGGTATGTCTTCGGTCTATGCGAGTTGAAGATGCCGATAATTGACATGACGAATAGTCTTACCACGACCTTGCTGTCCGCCTTGAACCCATTATCCTGGAGCTTGAACGAGAGCAAAACGACTTGCTCATCATAGCCCACGAATCGGTCCTTCGAGTTCTCTACGCTTATCTTATGCATTGTTCTACTATGGATATTCCATTCCTTAAGTTTCCCCGCGATGAGATTATTGAAATCATTCCGGCTGCATACCAAAACGAAGCCAAACGCATCCATATTCCAGGGCTCGACCCGCGAGTTCTTGTTAGCTCACCTGGATTCTTCAATGGGACACCTGGTGCCGCAAGTCTTTCGAGTATGCTTGCAACAGGAACACCTACTGGCAACCTAAGCGGCCATGTGACACCAAATGTTGATGGACTAAGCAGCCCTCCAGATACGTCTGTGGAACGGCCGCCGGAGAAGGTCATTAACACGGCAAAGGACATGGTGGCGGACAAGGTAGATGATGAGGACTAAACAACATTTTAGTCAGATCAGAAATCACTTAGAACAATGGTATCAAACAAAAAAAGGAAGAAGGTTAAAAAACATGAAATTAATTTCAATTCCTCATCTGATTTCCCCCATCACCTAGCTCGTGATGTATCAAGTGCTCAGAGGAAACGAGGTTCCGACGAGCCCCTTAATTGTCCCAAGCCAAGAGTGTCACCACCCTCAAGTAATGGTGGCTTTACATCTCCCCGTAATAGGGGAATCCTGACTACAGCCCGTCCTAGATCACTGGCAAGACCCGGACGCCAAGTCTCTCATGTGTCTCTCTGCCCGTGTGACTATCATACGCAGTCAGAAAGTAGTGCTACTGCCACATCGAGAGCTCTGCAGACGGAGATACGTATGAGTGACTGAATGAATAAAAACATCATGCAATATGATAAGCAATGTGAGACAGAGAGCTGAAAAAACTTTCCTTGTCCTCTCCCATGCCGGATCTTACCGGCTGGTCTTGGCTCGCCTGCAGGAAAGTGCAGCAGCCACATATTTCAGCTCAGTTGCCCCCCAAGAGAAGCAAGCAGGGGTGTAGATTTCGCAGGCCTATCTCACCTGCGCCTTATACATTGGGGATTTTTCCATTAGTTCCCATTCGTACAGGTGATTTGGTTACACAAAGCTGAGCTGAATCCAAAATCTTTCTCGAAGCGGTAAAGGAGGTTTCCCGTCCCCCCGTGTTTACGATCCCCCAACGATGGGGTTCTTCTTACATGTAAGGTCGTATAATCTGCTTGACAAATGCAAATACCTATTGGATGCTCGTGAGCCCAATGATCTGACACAGAAACCCACCCGATAGCCGATGCAAACATGCATCCGGAACGCTGAAACTCGCTTCTGGTTGCAGTTGCTTGGACATCAGGGTGGGGGGCAGTGTTGGACAAATGGTACAGTCTACATAGTTACCTCTGCAACACACACATCCCCCTTTTATCGAAAAAGGTGGCGTCACGTACATGCAGGCTGATGAACGAAGCAAAGAAAGGGTAGGGTCGGCTTTGGCCGCCCGGATACATCACTTTTGGCGTCAACGATAGTTTCAGGACGGAACACGGAACAGACGGCTAGGGGTTCCAATCACAGGGAAGCCAGTCCTCGAGAATGAGGCTGTCCGTGCAGGCGAGAGAGAAGCAGAAGGAAAAAAAAAACTATTCCCTGCCACTTGCTTTCACAGGAACAAGTCCCGAAACAAGGAGGGTGTGCATGAGTGATCGCCGCCGGACTTCAGCCCTTGCTCAAACACATAAGACATGCAGGGCCCAGAACCTTTTTTTTTTTTTCTTCTTCTTGCGTGATAAATCGGATACGGGCTGATTGGGTACCATGTGTTGCGTCCATTGTCCTGTCTCTCCTGGGTCGCGCATAAGTGCCGTTTTCTTTCTTTTCTTTTCTCATTCTCTGCCGTGTTTTTGGCACATCTGTGCCGCAGGCTAGCCTTATCTCGACCAGGGGGGGGAAACGAGGGTTCTGGAGGGAAGAAGGACGTCGAGTAAGATGCGAGAGTAGCTACACGGCAGGTTCCTATCCCTTGTTCGAGAATTGTTTTTTTCTGCCCTTCACGTGAAGGATGTCGTGACATGGCTGGACAGGTCGTACTATTCGCTGGCAGCCCAACCAGCAAGGCAGGCAGGATTGACTCGCATGGACGCGTCTGACTTGAGCTGGGAGCAGAAGCGAAGGGCCAGGGCATCGAGAGGCAAAAGAGGGTCACTTGAGCATAGGATAGACCAATGATGTTGGCGTCAGGGGGGCATTGTTACACAAGGACCCAGACGTTGTTGACGCTGTTCCAACTGGGAGATACCCAATGCATGTCAACCTCGAGCTCGCTGTGTGGAAGTGTAACCTGTTGGTCGGGTCTCGCTGGGGCTTTCTCTCTGGCTGAGACGCAGTCAGTGTCTCTGGCATTGGATCGACTGCGGAATTTGGAAGTGCTGCTCTGGCCACGGCACAGCGACATGGGCTTCAGCCCAGATGACAGATCACCGCCATCTTGACCATCTCGCTAGCCTGGGAACTAGGTATGTACATGCGCATGTATGCAGAGCTGTCTGGCAAGTGTGAATGCCCGGCGTGCTCCAACGTAGGTACCCAATTGCATGCGGACGGGCTGGTCGAGGGTTTTGGGGAGTGGAGCGGCAGAGCCCATTGCCTGGTCCTAAGCGCTCACGGCAGGTGGTCAACTCGCACATGCACATTGGAACGTACGGATGGACGAGGGTGAGTGTCTAGATATTAGGAAGCTGTCGCTGATGCAGCTGTTGCGCGATGGTGAGACCCGAAAGGACAATTGGAGACTGCTGGGCAATAAGCTGCCCAATTGAGGCAGCCAATTGGCCCGGCGGGCGGTGATCAGGCAGCTGTGCGTACATGCTAGTGCGAGCCAGAACGCTGCTTCCCCCTTCTTTCTGGCTGCTCGATCCTCTCGGTTGCTTTCCCGCCACTCCTGACCTTGCTGCGCCTGTGGCCGGGTCGGCGTCTAACTCAGTCTAGGCACGGATTGGTGAGCATTTCTTCAAGTCAGGTGAATGGGAAAAGGGCCGGGCTGGCGGGTCGAGCAGCACGTTGGATGGAGCTCCTGCCCCGAGGCCGCCGTCCGTAGTGCGAATGGACGGACGCTGGTAGGTTCAGCAAGGTGGGAATAGTCCCCATAGTATGGCGGGTGGGGACACGGCGTTTTGCTTTTGGCTGATGACCCAACCTAAAATCAGATGTTAGCGTTGCATGGAGGGCCCAGGAGGGTCATGAGACCAGAAGAATGCTGTCTCCAACGCTGACCGAGACCCTCGATCGTGCGTGCGAGCAGAAATAGGGGTGGTGGTGTGCGTACGCTGGCAGCTCTGCAAGGTATGGATGCAATGCATGTACGTGTGAATGGATGAATAATTGCAGTTTGCAGGTACATGCAGACGCTTGACTCTGTCCAGCGCAAATCCCTCCCACATCAGCCATCACTACCACCCGCCTCCCGTCACATACATCGGTAGGCACAGCATGCACCTGGGCGATGACACGGGATTGTCGCATTGCGTCCTTGCAGACAGTCAATTGACATCCGCATGCATGCCAAGTGGCGAGCTCAGAGGCCGGATACGGTTTCCAGGCGCCGTCACTCTTATTATTCATTATTATTAGGCCTCACCTCCATCGCATGTGACGTTTGGCCAGTCATGACGTATGTAGCTAAGTGGCCACCATGCAGCCATCTAGACGGGCGACATAAATAACAGCACACTAGGACACGAGCCTAGCTTCTGGGTTGCGCGCTATAACCTCGCTATTCTTTAATTGACTGTAAAAGAACGCGGTAGAAGCATATAATAACCTTGTATTCTGGACATCGTACCGATAGCTGTGGTAAACTTTGTCGCATGCCTACCTAGTCGCGCGCCCTCCTTGGTGTGCAATGATTTATGTCATGCACTCAAGGACCAGGACCAATGGCCCACCAACAGGAGCCGATCCCTTGGTAGCTCAAGCACACGCAGCCTGCATTTGCCCACTTGGGCTACCATCGTGTGATTTGTGAGACTTGGGGCCTGGTGCGTGCGTGCGTGTGTTTGCGAGCGTTTAAAGAGACCACCGATTCCCTTTCCGGGACGCAGACTTGCAGTGTAGCCTGTAATATAAACAGCTCATGTGGCAAGGGGAGTGAGCACCCAGCAGATGCCTCTCATCCCTTGCTGGGAGGCTCGAATTGGCCTTGAATTGCCTCGTTCTTGCTTTCCCTCAGGTGGGGTCGAGGTGGGGTTTCATCATATTCCTCGTCTCTTTTGCTGCCCACATGACTTGGGAGGCAATGCCAGGCCCAGCTCTAAACCAGGTAATACCTGTAGACAAAGGGGGCCTGTGGGTGCGGTGTTAGGGCTTAAGGACTCGGTTTGCAGCGGTGCGGACAGCGAGTACCGCGCCACTGGGCGCGGGAGGTTGGAGATGGGATCTGGCCAAGAGGGCACGACTCCACTTGTGATGCAGCTTCGGAATGTGCGCAGTAGCTTTGTAATGTGGATGGCGAGTGGAGAGTGAGAGCTGTTGGGAGGGAGAGACCTTGTGCGGAAGACGAGGGACGTTGCGGAGTGGGTTGCAGCACATCGAACGCGAGCTCGATCTCGGAGCGGGGAGACAAGGACACTTTTCGAGGGCAGAAAGGGCCGCTCCCGATCCATTGAGCCCATTGCGCTGGTTCTCGAGGGGAAGATATGCAGCTAGGCGCCAAGCGGCTCAAACGAGGAACCTCGTTGGGGGTTAGGATAGGCTGTATCGACATCTACCTACGTAGGGCGATGTACAATCCGCCCTTGGAGACCATCGCCGGCTGGGACTGATCGGCGCCAGCAAATTCTGGGATGCCAAGGGAGGTGATTCGAGGGTGGATCTGCCTAATGCTGACCAAAATATCCATCTCAATAGGCAGCTTAGCGGTGCGGTAGCCTGCTGGAAAGGCCAGGCCAGGGAGGTCGGGGAGCTCAGGTCGGCCAGCACAAGCCCCCGCGGGAGTCGGGAGCTGCTCAGGATCTGGCGGATGCCGTGCTTGGGGCACTGAACCCAAAGAATCTAGCGAGGGAGGTGTGCCCATCCAGCCCAGCCCAGCGTTTCTGTCTCGGCCGGTACGCCAGCAGGTCACCTCCTCCGGCGCGATGGGGTTGGCTCGGTTGAGCTGGGGTAGGCTTCCGGAGGGGGCAGCAGCATTATCCCCATCGCCATGGGATTTGTTTTCGGCGCCGAAGCTCCTCGCTTACCTTTCCAGATCAGACCCCCTCGCTTATATGTGTACCTTCCCCCCAGCCAACCATTTTGTCTCAGATGTGACATGACGCATCGAACGTTCGCTAAAATCTACAGGCCGTCCACCTAGTGGTTGCGGAGCATTCGCTCAAGGGTTGGGAGCTAGGTCCTGCTAGTGTCCCAGCCGAGTTGAGATCTTGGGGTCATCAGTGTGGGAAAAAGAAAGGAAAAGAAAAGCTCCAGATCCAGGATGCAACGCCAAAGGTAGGTGGAATATGTAGGTAAACAAGATATACTTTGACTTGTGTTTACACATGGGGGACACCATGGACTTGCTCCGCAAAAAGAAGTCGAGGACGGGAAAAAACATCTCGTCATGGATGGTACCCGCGCACCAGAGCAAACACGGGAACCCCTCACTTACCTGCCCTTACCCCCAATGGCCCAATGCAGGATGCACAGAGGGGGAGGGATGTGCCGAGGGGAAGGGTTGAATAGCTAATCACTCCAGCGTAGATAGTCCGTGATGCTAGGAACCAGCCTGCTCAATTCTGTGAGGGGAACTGGCTGCGTGGGCAAGGTGAGGTCGCTCTGGATACCTTTGCCCCGCATCGTGTTGCTTCTGCTCATGGGGTTCTGAGGCTACCTAGCTCCAGAGACTCAAATGGCTGTGCCTGATGTTGGTTAGTGGTTTAAACCTGGTACAGGCGGCTTCGCCCACCAAGCGCCAATGGAGCATGGAGCACAGGTAATATTGGCACCGTAATTAGAGACTTGTACGTGATACCCACTTAAATCAGATATCTGGTGACCGGGACGGAGTTCGACTAGGTACCCCCGAGAAGAAGAGAGGTACATGCATTCTCCAAGCCCCCTGGCCCGCAGCATGTTCTTCGTCATGTCTTTCCTGTTCTCGCTGGAAGGCATGACGGGAGCTGTGACGATGAGGCCAGAGACGGAGGGCAGTCGGAGGAGCAGCACCGGCCGCAGCACCACTGCAAGCCACCTCGTACCAAATGACAACCCATTCCTGGCAGGACTTCTCCAAATATAAAGAATTGACCTTTGATATTGACTCCATTCCTTGTCTTGGCCGTCGATGGCATCCTTGCATTGGTACATGGTATTGAACTGATTTTAGTCGTTGGTCCCTGGTTCCATGTGAGGCGTGTGCCCATGTGACCAGCACCATTCTGCGCGCATGTACCAATTCTCGAGCTACCTGGCCTACGAAAACGACCTCTATCCTGATTACCGTACCTACCTCACTCTCCATATTGTATTTCCTGGACAAGCTGCAAGCTGCCTGCATTTCTTGCCGTGCACCGCGGTGTGAATTTACCGTCCCCGTCTGCTGGCTCTCGAGCGGTCTGTACCGGTATACGAAGACCTCCCAAGGTGCACAAAGTCGCAAAGTCGTACGTCTGGCCTGGGCACTCTACCCGCATACCACTACCACCTACCGAACCCACCTGACATCGGGAGCTACCATCTCCTGGCCTGTGCCCCCCTGGCTGGTCTACCGCCGTTTGTGCCATCTCCCTCCGTCATCGACCAGCCGGAAGATATTTCATCGCAAGGCTGTTGTTGGATTGTCGTGACTGCGACTGGCTGCCTGCTACATCCATCCAACAATCCAGGCAGTACCCATCTGATCGTTCCTGCCCGTCGACCTGCACCGCTCCCTGCCTGCCACCCGGCACCACGAGTTGGAGTGGCTCTTCGCGCGTCCGATACCTGGGGGATTTTCCTGCCTACCTGCGTGCTGGTTCCGTTGCAGTCGCAGCACCATCATAGCCCGTTCTGCCCAATAGAAGCTGACGGCAACCTGGTAAGCACCCATCTCGCACACATTCTTTCCCGTCTCGTTCAGGCATGCCAGGCCAAGGGCTCTGGTTCACGTTTTTCTCACCCGTCCCTTCTCGCAAGTCAATCGCCGGCCCGTCGCTTCTTGGCGGGCTGGAGATGCGAGGCTCAGTGGCCTGGGGCTGTTTTTATCATTCCCCGTCCTTTCAATTCTCCCTCGCCCATTGTGCCATGCACTCTGCGTCTTGGCCAGGCCCCAGCCAACCCAAGGAGCTATGGACAGTGTCTCTCCACCCCCCCTCAGGCGCCAGACGCAGCAAGCATAGGTGAGGTAGGTAGGCGTCTGCCCTCCGAACGACCCCCCTGGTGTTCTGTCGCCTGTCACGAGCGCGCTACATCAAGCACCCCGCCCCCTCCACTGCTAGAGCGACCCGCCCTTCCCCTCTAACAGCCCAGCCCAGCCCAGGCCAACCGCCAGCCCAGCTTTTGTGCCTCACCATCACTCAACTCTCTTTTACCTGACCATACCTCACCTATTACCTCCCTCCCTCCCGCACGCAAATCCCCATTTCATTTCCCTCTCGAGTCCTGCACGCCGACTCACCCTCTCGAGTTCCCTTTATGGATACCTGGATCTACCTAAACAGCACCCAGATGAGATACCCTGCTGTACACGAACTCACCTTTTCGGCTCCCTAGCTTCTTCTTCGTCCCTCGTCCGGTTTCTCAGCTGCCGCCCACCAGCCCGCACTGGCCTCGAGCTCTGGTGCTGTTCAGTCTCCTCCCAACCAGGCGCTGCGTCACATACGAACACCACGAAGCTACCGCATCCTTGCTGCTGCTTCTGCTGCCCGCCCCCCCTCTTTTACAGGTACAGTTCCCTGAGCGTTTCTTTTTCCATCTCTTCCTCTTTCTTCTCCATTGTCCTTGTCGTCCTGCCCCGACTTTTCCTTTCGTATGCATAGGTGAAAATTCACCTCGTGCTACTTTCTTCTCAAAGCAGTGCATTGTGCACGCTGCCACACCCCTCCACCTGGCCATCCCTCCGTCGCTACCTGCATTGCCACCCTTTGTGACTTGCTCCTCAGGCTGTTCCTTTGTTCATCCCGGGGGCCTCTTAATACCTGACGCGCTCCCCCATATAACTTGGGTTTTTCTTCCCTACCTCTCTTGCCGGCCGTCACCTCAGCCCCGCACACCCCCCTCCTCTCTTTCGCCAGCCGAGCCTGTGTCACCAAAGCTTTTTGTCATTTTCTTTTCGACTACCGTGGCCATCACCTATCTTTCAAACCGAACTTTCTAGCCCGTGCCAGCGACTTCTTCCAATTGCCCAAGCATACTAAGACTCTCTGCTGCAGCGCCGAAACGCCAACCCAGACCTGCCACTGTTCTACGCTACAGTGGTCACGAGGCGTCAATTCTCTTCACCACTGTCGGAATACTCGAGCTGTTTCGACCAAATCTGCACACCGAAAAAGCCTCGTCCTTGCCAGCGGTTGGCGAAGCGAAAAGTTGTCTGGGGAGTTCACACATACCCTTAACGTTTTCGACCATCTTTTAGTTGCCCACCACGGCGTACTTCCAGAGAGCTACTTTTGCGCCTTCATTCTCCACGCATTCGCGGACCTCCTTGACCAAAACCTGGTAGTCTGCGCTTGGAGCGAACCACCGCAACAATGTCGTCGCACCGACCTAACGCTCTAAATAGCCTGAGAATGGGAGGTGAGTTCTTTATCTGGCGGCTAACCTGCACTTGCGTGCTTTTCTTGCCTGGATTGTATCTGACTGTGCTTTAGAGGTTATCCGCGAGAAAGTTCAAGACGGCATCACAGGCGAGACCCGGGACTTGCAATACACGCAATGCAAGATTGTTGGTAATGGATCTTTCGGCGTGGTGTTCCAGACCAAGCTTTCTCCTACTGGAGAGGATGCCGCCATCAAGCGTGTTCTTCAGGACAAGAGATTCAAGGTGATCACATCCCATACGCTTATCTCGAGCTCACATAGACTGACATGATATCCTCAGAACCGTGAGCTCCAAATCATGCGAATTGTCCGCCACCCGAACATCGTACAGTTGAAGGCCTTCTACTACTCCAACGGTGAACGCGTAAGTTGCCAGGCCAGCCCTTGGCGAGCATACCATGGATTATTGCTGACTTCGGTTGTAGAGAGACGAGGTTTACCTCAACCTGGTTCAAGAATTTGTGCCCGAGACGGTCTATCGAGCATCTCGCTTTTTCAACAAGATGAAGATTCCCATGCCTATCCTGGAAGTTAAGCTGTACATTTACCAGCTGTTCCGAGCACTTGCCTACATCCACTCCCAGGGCATCTGCCATCGTGACATCAAGCCTCAAAACCTTCTCTTGGACCCCAACAGTGGAGTCCTCAAGCTCTGTGATTTCGGCAGCGCGAAGATCCTGGTTCCGAACGAACCGAACGTGTCGTACATCTGCTCGCGTTACTATCGCGCTCCGGAACTTATTTTCGGTGCTACAAACTACACTACTAAAATAGGTGAGACAATCATCCGCTTTGGGCCTCTCTTTCTCGAACACTGAGGCTTTGTATTTTCTTGGGAGATCAGTCCCTTTACTAACTTGTTTCCAGATGTGTGGTCGACTGGATGCGTCATGGCCGAGCTCATGTTGGGGCAACCTCTTTTCCCTGGAGAGTCGGGAATCGACCAGCTTGTGGAGATCATCAAGGTTTTGGGTACTCCCACCCGTGAGCAGATTCGGACCATGAACCCGAACTACATGGAGCACCGATTCCCGCAGATCAAGCCACATCCCTTCAATAAGGTGTTCCGCAAGGCTGATGCCAATGCGATCGATCTTATTGCTAAGCTGCTGGAGTACACCCCCACCGAGAGACAAACTGCCATTGATGCCATGGTGCACCCATTCTTCGACGAACTGCGCGATCCTGCCACGAAACTGCCTGACTCGAGGCATGGCACCGGACAACTTCGGGACCTACCTGATTTGTTCGATTTTTCACGACATGGTAAGCGAAATAGTCCCCTACAAACATGATATGATCTTGATGGCTAACGATTGCAGAATTGTCGATTGCGCCATTACTGAACCAGCAACTGGTCCCATCGCATATGCGCCCTGTCTTGGCCTCTCGAGGTCTTGATATTGACAACTTCACGCCGCTGTCCAAGGAAGAAATGATGGCAAAGCTCGATTGAGCGTGCTCAGCCTGGCGAGATTGATAGAAAACTCCCCTGCATTGCTATAGCACAACATGT